CAGCCACTCCTCAGAAGGAAGGTTGGGCAATCCTACTTCCGTAGTGATACTGCCTCGGAAACCCAAGGAGGGGTCGCTATGAGTCAGGGCTGACTCGACGACACATAACAACAACAACAACAGTCATCCATATTTTGAAAAATAAAACAAAATAAAACTCCAAAGTGATTCTGATCCACAGCTGATCGAGTCTGCCAACCCAGCTTGTATCACCTTAGAAAAACCACTGAAAATGTGGGGAAAAGGATGTGAAAAATACTTGTTGTTGTGACTTACCATGGCATTGTTTCCCATCAGGAAGCAGAATATATCCCACAGGGCATGTGCAATAGTAGGATCCAGGGGTATTCTCACAACCAAGAGTACAGCCATGATTCGAAAGGGCACATTCATTGACATCTATACAATGTCGAGAACAAAACATAGTCAGATGGTTATTTCTGAAAGGAAAATATAATATTGTAATAAACCAAACCAAACTCATTGCCATTGAGTCAATTTTGCCTCATAACAACCCCTCAGGACAGAGTAGAACTGCCCATTAGCATTTCTATGTAAATCTTCATGGAAGCAGACTGCCATGTCTTTCTCCTGAAAAGCATCTGGTGGGTTTGAACCACTGACCTTTCGGTTAGCAGCCCAGCCCTTTTAACTATTGAGCCACCAGTGCTCCTGATATGATATCACTGACAGAACAGAATAGAGTATTTCACACTTGGATATGCTATCACTGACCACTGAAATATTGTTTATCCTACTCTTTAAAAGAGTGAAATAACTCAGTGGACTTGTCTTGAAAGCCATTTTTATTGTCATAGTTTAAATTTTCAAATATATATTTTCATACTAGAATTACCCTTACAAAGAAGAATTATTCTTTGAAAATATATAGCATGCCATTTAAAACGAGGAGTCTTTAAAGTTCTGTACAAGGATTCCCTGCTCTGCTCTTTGTCCTTCACAACACTGACTGGAGTTTTCAGCTGAATGGGTGAACTTTCCTCAGCACCTTTAGTCTGCCTTAAGCTCCAGGCTTCCAGTTCAGTGTTTCTATGCTACAGTTTTTGCCCACTAGTCTCCATATAAACTATGGTTGTTATCAGCTGCATTTGAGTTGATTTCTACCCATGGCAGCCCCACATGTGTCAGATTAGAACTGCTCCTGTCTCCTGAGGCTTCTCTGGGTGGGTTCAAACCACCAACCTTTCAGCTAGTAATCCAGCACTTAACCGTTCATGCCACCCAAGGAGTTCCCCCTAAAAGCAGGGAACTATAACTAATTAACAGAAGATGCTGGGTAGTCCAAATGGTTCACAAGCTCAGCTGCTAACCAATAAGATGGAGATTTCAATCCACTAAGAGATGCCTCTGAGAAAAGTCTGAAGATCGACTTCTGAAATATCAGCCATTGAAAACCCTGTGGTTCCACTCTGAACCACATGGGGCTCACATGAGTCAGAAATGACTCAACAGAAATTAGTATAACTAACAAGGCTCTGGGAGCTCTGGTAGCATAGTGCCTAAGGCACTTGACTGCTCACCAGAAGGCTGGCAGTTCAAACCCACCAGCCACTCCTC